ATGACATCTTGTTAAAGTTTTCAAACATAACATCTCCTCAGCCTTCAAAGCTCCTTCCATCCATCCATAAGCATTAGCTTGTTTGAGTCGTTTTCTCAGGCAGAAAGTCTCCCTGTTTGATCTCATGAAGATTTTTGCTGTAGGAGCAGCTTTTGCTCAGTCACAATGTAAAACACAGCGTGGGGAGCACAGCTTCTGCACTCTGCCTTTTCTCCAAAGTGATGCTCACTCACTGCACCGCTCGGTATTTAGCAGAGCTCAAGCAGTACTCGAGTCCCTTCTCAATGGTCTTACCTAAGATATTCTCTTGCCTTTAACAGAATTCGGATTTATTCCCCTTTCACTCCTGCCTGAACAGTCAGTGACGCCAGAATATAGAGCTCAACAGCATTCGGTGTCACACTGGGTTCTCTTAAGCTGTCTCATGGGCTGTCTGTACACTCTGACACAAGCCTTATACTCCAAACATGTATTTCGTCATATATATAATTAGTCGAGGTTATCATCCTCAATGCTGGGCGTTCTCACCAGTATGTGTACCCTCATATAAGGGCTTGCAAACTTATTTTCTTAAATGGAGGAGGCGGCCCTTCCCTCCTTCAGCCAGGTCCACCCTTCTCCTCTGCATTTTATAATCAAACAGAAAAAGAAAGCAAAACCTCCACTGTTGCTTTAACTCTCTCGAGTGGCAGAACTAGTAGCCCAGAGCACCTCTATAGCCTTCCCCATTAGTAACACCAGCCCCTCTGAATCCACTGAAGAAGAAACGTGCAGTTTTCATTAGACTGCCCTTAATGCAGAAAAGGTGCCTGTTGGGCAGGGTGGAGTGGAACCCGCCATCTCTGGCGCGTCCAACGCTACAAATTACTAAATCTGCCTCCTGCAAAAGCAAGCCGGGACTGAAAAGATAAATACCCACTTAGTAAAACAACATAAAATCAGCTCTAGAAAGACGCAAGACCCTGAAGGAGGGCTGAAATAGCCCCTTGAAAATAGTGAAGTAATGGGCTTAGAGTTTTATTATTCGTATAAAGTTTAGTGACTTCAAAATGAGCGCAAAGCCAAACAAGACTTGTTATCCCACTAAAATCTGTGCTGTAACTGAAGCCAGTACCCAGATGTTCTGTGGTAAAATCCACTGCTTTGCTGCATAAAAGCTCCACATACCCTGACGTACAGTCCTGGCTTGCCTTTATCCAAACCTACTTAGATTCTGGATTATTTTTCTAGCAATCTTTTAAACTGCCATGGGAAGCATAAAAGGTGGTCTCCTACAAAACCGTTTGGTACCAGCTTGAAACGTAACCATTTGCAGAAATAAATCCGGATTTCTTTTTAATAAACTGTTTACTACCAGCCTTTTGGAACATAAATTTTAGAAGAAAAAGCAGGGTCTGAGTTTAATAAACGTCTCATCTTTTTATATATATTAAGGCAGAAGACCCTGGCATGCTTCAGAGCAGAAAGTCCGGTGGACAGGCTCGGTCCAGCCCTGCCGAAGCGGTGGGACGGGGAGCAGAAGGCCACAGAGAGAGGCTGGAAACCCCATTGCAGAGCCAAGGTGAGCCCCTGCTCCCCTGGCACCAGTAACCCACTTCAGCTCCCAGGGTACCTCCAGGAAGGGGTTTATCCCTTCATTCTCAGAGGACTTCTGAGGTGGACAAGCCTTAGGTGGAAAAACCTTCCTAAGGAGGACAAAACTGACTTGAAGATGCCGTTTCTGCTCCTCCACACAGGAGGAGGAGAGGCTGGAAAAACCGTGGCAGATGGGCTGGAGCTGCGTGCCGGGAGCTTTAAACGTCGGATGGACGCAGAGTACGTGGTGAAGGCATTCGAGCCGAGCAGGGAAGGCAGCGCAGGCGTTACGTGATTTTGAACAGCTTGCTTGACAGTTTGCACCATATTGTATTTATAAACATTGGGGAAACCTAAATGCTTCTCCTTGGTGTTTCCGAAGTAGTCATCCACAACAAAACAGGCGCGCGGGGCGATCCTACACAGCACTGCCTCACCTCCCTGGCGACCTCCTTAAAATTAGTAAAAGGGCCCCGTACTAATCTCTGTGGGGTCAGCATCCCACCCGGCATTCAAACTCCCTCTCAAACCGTGCAGCTGACCACCAAACTCCGAACTGCCCCCGAACTGGGGGGAGGCTGGGGTGTGAGGTAACCCACTGGCCGGTGACGCCAACAGCGCGTCACGCGTGTGCCACCGCCTGCCAGGGAACAGCCAGCTCCTCTCCCAGGCGCCGCACAGCCTGGTGCATCCCTGGGCGGCCACCTTGTGTCACCTGGCCAGCAGGGCTGGCGGCGACGACACACGGCCGTGCCCACCCACGGCTGAAAAATCAGCAGCTTTTCTGTCCAGGGCCAAGCAGAAACAGGGAGAGCGTGGTGCCCCTCATCACAGAAATGCGACAAAGCTGATGGGATTTCTCAGACGTACTATAAAGCTTTTCCAAATTAAGAGGGGCTCGTTATCTGCCGGCACAGAAAGTGCACGAGGAACAGGGATCGTTCTTCTCACAGCAGGACGAAATGCAGCCACAGGACCCCAAATACATCCATACCCCACCCCCATGTGATGGAGTACTGCACTTTTCTGCTTCATCACATTTTCAATAGTTGAAATAGAACACAAAATTTCTCAGGGTTCTAAAAATTCCTCTCCTCCTTCAAATATTAACAAGTTTTAAATTCTAGACATTAAGTACTCGCAGAGACTTTTAGCGGCACTAGAAAGCTGACCTCGGCAGCTCTCCTCTTACAGGTATGCCTTTTGCTACGAGGTAGGAGAGCGAGGCTGGGAGGATGAGGCATTCCTGACAAGAAGCAATCCGAAATGCCATTCCTAAAATAGCTAAGAATCAGCGATTTTCAAAGCAGCCTGAACAGAATCACAAAGTTTTTCTCCCTGCTCCCTTACAGCACAGCTAAGGGTGCTGACGATGTCTAACACCCAAAGTGCTATTTTTATGAAACCCAGGTTATGGCCAAGCCAGCAGAGGACCTGGCCAGGGTCACTAGCGTATAAATCACTCACCACCAGGGAGGAATTTACCCTCAAATCACTCTCGTCCCCTCTAGTTTTACACAGATCCAACTCCACCGGCACGACCAAGCACAAAATCAGTGCACCGAGGCTAATTGCCCATCCAAAAACGGTGCTGCCAGGGATGCTCCGATAGAGACATGCTGCCATGTTTGTGTCACTGAAGATCACCTGGTGTCTGCTCACAAACAGGCAGCCGGACCACGGAGATGGGTGTATTTACACTGGGGGGTCCTGCCTCCCCTCTGAGCTTGCCTCCTGCTGCTCAGTCAAGCCACTAGAACAGCGGTACTGTTTAAGCGTTTTAATTAAAGATTGTAACTAGATGCTAACCAGATCCTTTGGTGGGGAGGGAAAATCCAAGGGACACTACAAACTTCACAACCCGATCTCCAAAACCAGCCTTGCAGGGGCTGCCTCGCTCAAGGAGGTGCCCACCAGGACAAATCCCAGAGCTGTGCTGGGCAGCACGGCACGGCCAAGACCACACTCACCCCTGGCACCAAGCTAACGGGGGTGAGGAAGCAGGGCACTCAAGTGCTAAATACATGCAGAACAAAAATGCTCAGAGGATCACCACTTTTCAGAAATCTGCACTAGGTTCAAAAAAACCTTTAGCTGTGAAGGTTTAAATACATAAAAGTTCTATCTGCAAGTGATTAAACAAGGCTGTGCAGCTATTGTTTCTGAGCTGGCGAAATAAAACCACGACCCAAGCCGCGCAAAGCAAATCTCAGCACTTGCATCCCACCCTCGAGTTTCCCGTCTACTTTTTTTTCTGTAGCCGCGTTTCAATTTCTTATTTCTCCCCCGAACACCAAGTCCGATGCCAGCGAAGACAGAGCCGTTGCCTGCCTGACACACCCCCGCCGGCGTCGGAGGGTGAGCCGGGGCTCCCGGCAGCAGCCCGGGCTGCGGGGCACCGGTCGCCACCGGCTGAAAGGAGGGGGAAACCCAAACCTCCAAAGGGCAGGGCGGGGGGATCCGAGAGGGCGCCGAGGTCCCGGCGGCAGCATCCCGCAGGAGCGGCGGCGGAGCGGTGCCGGGAGGCGGGGGGTGCAGCCCGAGGGACCGCGCCGGGGTGGCCGCTCGGTGCGGCGCGTCCCCCGCCTCGCTATGACCGAGGGGTCCCGCAGCCGGGGAAAAGAGGGGGGGACACCGCGCCCCCCGACGGCAATCAGGGGGGTCCCGCTTCCCACCCCGGTGCCGGTGCCTTACCTTGCGGCGTCCAGTCCCGTCCCGTCCTGTCCCTCCCGCGGGATTGGGGGCGGGGGAAGCTTATATTTTTTGGGGGGGGTTGGCGGGGGGGG